TTTTTCGGTTTCCGTTCGAATTTGATAGAATTTCGGGATCATTTTTGCTAATTCCTTCACGCTCAAAAGTTTCGAAAATTGTTTCTGGGTAATCGATTGAATTAAGCACTTGTGAGATCCACTCTTCGCATGTGTCTTGTGGGTAGATTTCTTGATCTATTCTATCTGCAATTGCTATTATTTGGTTTCCGTTCGAATTGGATAAAATTTCGGGATCATTTTTGCTATTTCCATCATGCTTAAAAGTTTCGAAAATTGTTTCTGAGTGATCGATTGAATTAAGCATTTGTGTGATCCACTCCTCGCATGTGTCTTGTGGGTAGATTTCTTGATCCATTTTATCTGCAATTGCTGTTATTCGGTTTCCGTTCGAATTGGATAAAATTTCGGGATCATTTTTGCTATTTCCATCATGCTTAAAAGTTTCGAAAATTGTTTCTGAGTGATCGATTGAATTAAGCACTTGTGTGACCCACTCCTCGCATGTGTCTGGTAGATAGATTTCTTGATGCATTTCATCTGCAATTGCTGGATTTTGGTTTCCGTTCGAGTTTGATATATTTTCAGGTCCATTTTCGCTCTTTTTACATGCCTCATCCTCACAACTATCAGAACATGTTTCTTTGAGATCAATTGAATTAGTCATTCGTCTGAAGCACTCATCGCTTTTTTCCGATAGTTTGTCTGCGCCCATCTCCGCTTCATCTAAGCTTACCGCTTTTTGTTTTCCGTTCAAATTTAATGGAATTTCAAATTCAGTTTTGCTATTTCCTTTATCCTTGAAACTTTCGGGAACTATTTTCGAGAAATCGGCTGAATTAAGAACTTGTAAGATCCCCTCATTACATGTGTCCGATAGGTAGATATCTTCATCAATTTTATTTGGAATGAATATTCTTTTGTTTATATTAAAATTTGGATTCTCAGATTTATTTTCAAAACTTTTGCGTGCTTCATCTTCAAAACCTCCGAAAATCTTTTCTGGGAGATCGATTGAATTCAGCCATTGTGAGCAGCATTCTTTGCGTGTACAAGATTGATAGATGTCTCTATCAGTTTCATCTGAAACTATTGGTTTTTGGTTTCTGCTCAAATTTGGTGGAGTCTCAGATTTATTTTCGCACTTTTTGTTTACATCATGTTGATGATTTTTGTGTACTGCTAATGCGTAATCTTTGCGACCTTCGTGGATTGATTTTTGGTGTCTATTCAGATGTCCTTTATTCCCAAATTTTTTTTCGCATTTGTCGCATGCGTAATCTTTGCGACCTTCGTGGACGGCTTTTTGGTGTGTTATCAAAGTGCCTCGTTGCCCAAATTTTTTCTGGCATTTATCGCATGCGTAATCTTTGCGACCTTCATGAACTGATTTTTGGTGTATGAACAAACTTGATTTTCTTCCAAAATTTTTTTGGCATTTATCGCATGTGTAGTTTTTACGATCTTCGTGGACTATCTTTCGATGATTGATTAAATTACTTTGATCCCCGAATTTCTTTTCGCATTGGTCACATTCGTAATCTTTGCGACCTTTGTGGACTACCTTTTGGTGTCTGATTAATTTGTATTTTTGCCTAAAGTTTTTCTCGCACTTGTCACACGCGTAATCTTTTTGTTCATTGTGAATCATGTCTCGGTGTATTATCGTGCTTGATTCTAGTGTAAATGCTTCCTGGAAAATATCACAAACGTGTTTTTTTTCGTCTGAAACAAGATTGTCGTGTTCGCTCAAGTTACTATTTGAGACAACTAGTTCAACTTTTTTATCACTTTGATCCATTTTAGCTCCTAAATTAAATAATTGATTTTCTTATTTAGTACCACTGTAATTGAATGAGTAAAATTTATCTTATGGTATTAAGTTCTGCTTCGCCGACAAAGGCAATACTCATACTAATTTGTTTGGCTATGAAAATTTTCAATTATTAAGGCACGATGTCAACATTGTTTATTTTCATGATGTTTACAGTTAAGACAAATTTATGTATTGATGTATTATCCTTGTATAATGGATTATGTATTGTTTATAAAAAAAAGTTTTTTGTACTGATACTTATAATGCCAAAAAATTATTTTAATATTCTCTATTGCAATTGATTTAAGAAAAAAAGTAGAAGATAGAGAACTGATACGAAGAGTTTTTCGTTTTCTTAAAAAAATTCATTGTGGTTCATCTTTGAGTTATCTATGAATTATTAAGGTCTTACAGGTACAGATAACAAAAATGTATTTAATTTTTAGAAAGGATTTTTTTCTCTTTCACATCCCATTTTTAAACGTTGAAATATTGGATTCTCACTGAGCCTTTCCATGAGATTTTAATATATTTTGTGTCGATTTTTTCTCCCGTTTTCTAGCGAAACATTTTTTTTCAAGTGCTGTAATCTTTAGAGCGAACCTGCTGATGTAAATTTTTGAAGTATCGCAATCTCAGACGAGATGATCGGATTCATGACTCACTCTCGTTGTAGACCTTGATAATGGCTACAACAAATAAAAATAAATAAATACAAAAGTATGGCCCAGTGTTCGTGGATCGAATATCACCTCATCTGAAAAGCAAAATTTTGGAGTTTCTGAAATTGGCATAGAAAAGTGTAGGAAAATTCTTCTAAAAACTTGATTAAAAATTGTTTCGATTTCGAGCCCGCCACTGAGTCCTTAAATGCACTCGACACCATAATATAGAGCCAGGAGCTTCTCGTTTATTCTCTCTCTTTTGCCGGGGTTCCTGTGTAGCGCAACACTCATACCCAATGGTTGCGGACGCGGGGAGAATCGCTCGCCAAACGCGTTTCGCATTATGGACTAAAGCGGAAAATTCGATGAAAACCCGTACATATACCTACGCAGCAGCCGCAGATACTTTACTAGGTGCACGCGCACACACGTAGATGTATCGACAAGCAGAAGAGAGAATACTCATAACCAGTATCGGCGGCTCTCTCCCTCCCAGCAGCAGCAGCGATGACAGTACAGGCAGCCACTCGCTCGGCCGCGGAAATTCATAAGCTATGTTGTAACGAGAATGGAATGTGCATGCAAGCGCTCAAGCTCTCGTTCTCTCTCTCTCTCTCTCTCTCTTGTGAGCGCGACGATGAAACTGAAAGGTTTTGGAATGATTAATCGGATAGAGCAGTGGATATTTCCACGAGAACACACGCACTCGCGCAGCCAATAGACGAACTCGCATATCGGCACACACGCACGCACAGTCACAAGTGCGCGAAGTAATGTGCATTGTCGAACGTATAGCACTGCATCGAGCGTAAAGCTCAGTTCTGCCGTGTATATACACGCGCGCGCATATATATCGGGGGTCTTTTGATTCACTCGATTGGCACTTGCCATTTCACGCGAATGCTGCAACGGAGCGCGCGCCGCTACTGCTGCAAAATTATTGGAAATCGCTGTGCAAGAGACAGAGAGGAAAGAGAGCGCACACACAACTTGCGAGCGGATAAATTGAATTGACGTGTATAAGCTTGAAAGCTATGCGATCGAGCTCACGGCAACACGATATACAACGGATGAATGTTTTGCGCATTTGTGCTCATTGTCGAATTCGGGCTGTATCATATCGCGCCCTGCTGCTGCGCCGAGCCCCCGTACAGAACCGGTCTTACGCTCGTGGGCGCCAACTCTCCGTCTGGAAAATTTGTTTGTGCAATTCTCGTGTTTCCCCCCGTTGCGCGAATCAATTTTCCGAATCGCGATACGGAATTTTCAATCAACGTGGAAAATTTGGAAAGTTACTCGTTACGTAGTACATCTCTGTAGAAATATTGTGCAGTAAATTCGTTTGAAATAAAATTTTAAACTACAATTCTCAGAGTTTGATACTGTACCCTTTAAAATTACTATATAAATTTTCGTAAATATGCGATCATATTAAATTAACAATATTTATTAGAAAAACAGATGCCGTTTTATTCAGAAATCGATAACTTCAAGTGGTAAAGAAAGCGCCACGATCGTGTAGTGAAATGAATTTCTCGCCACCGTGGGTAAATTCAGTCAAGTGCTCTTCTGTCGGTAAACGCGATCTCTGATAAGAAAGTCTGAAACGTATATGAAAGTACGCGGCGTCGTTATCATCGATAAATATTAAGCTAAAACAATAGGATCAAAAATGACGTATAATCATACAGTAATATTATTTAAAGCCATTTTCTCTTTATTGTAAAACTTTCATAGTTTCTTTCGAAAAGTTTACTATAAATTGTTCAAATACAAACTGATTCAATCAACTTGTTGCACTCAATTACTGTGTTTCATTCCAAATCTTTTCGACATACCTATTCGTATGATAAACATGCAATTTAAATACCTACTTTAGATCCATAGCGAGACATTGTGGAACGTGACAAAACTAATTACATCAACTCAAAAAACTTGTAAAACGAACCGCTCCATTTTTTCCTTCATGAAATCTTATTTCATTAATTTCCAAATTATTTTTAGTTCAATTCCAATGGGATTATGCATAAAATAACTCGAATTTTTTATTTACCAATGATTTTCAAATATATTATTCATTTTCTTTTCTTCGATCATTTCCTTCGATAAAATATGTTCTAAAACAATGTTGAACATTTCAATTTATTTACAATATCCAAACTTATAGGCTACAGTTGATACCAATAGCTAATTCAAAAATTATACAAGATAGCATGAAAAGTATACAGTGACAAAATAATTCATAAAAAGTATTCATTTAAAAAACACTAATCGCCATCCCGCTTCATAGGCGTCAGGAAACGAGGAACAGATATTGACTATTAAAATAACAAAATAATATGCCTGGCAAATCAGTCTTTACTATGCACTGCCACGAGGCATAGTCGTATTTTAAAAGCTTCAGTTTTTTCGTTAACATTTTTTTTGTTCACCAAAAAATTAAGTACATTATAAAAGTTAGATTAAATAAAAAAGATTTTTTTTCAAAAGTAAACGTTATTGAAATATTTGTTGTGAAATTTACGAGTAAGCAGCCAATCCGTCCTATGACTTTTGTTTTAGTACATTGATAAATTTTTCATTATCAATCGCAAAAGTCCAGAGGATTTGCTTAGGGTAAATAAATTTAAAACCTCGTCTTCATTTTGAGATATAACAAAGTACCACTCAACGAAGAGAGAGTCAACCACGCTTATAATTATTTTAAACCATGGCATAAAATTTTAACCAAATTAATCTGGAGTTGAACCCCTGTGTGGAAATATGTAAAATTCCAAGATTCCTTACTAAAAATTTCAATACATACCTAAGCAATTATTTATATTCACAGAGTAAATAAAGATCACAAGCGTCTACGGATTCTCCTAAGATATCCGGGTTGAAACACGTAAAATAATACATACAATACACACTCTAAATGCGAGGCTTATAATGCTCGTGTGTAAGAAAAACATGTCTAGCTACGGTTTAATTTAAAATAATAAAATTAATCTTAAATTCTTTACTGTATTTACAAAGTTCGTTCACAAATTAATCTTCCAATGTTTTTCGCGATACCTTAGAATATATACACTTACAAAAAATTCAATTCTCTTCAACATTTTTCTGTATCACAATTATCATTTTTTCATATGCTTTACAATAGCCTAATCAGGATGAATCGTCGTTAAAATATAAAAATAAAAACGAAAACAAATGTTGTCAATCAATCATGAAACTGTGGTGAAGTAATATTGGGTATAAAAAACTGTTGCATGATCCATCCTGGACAGAGTCAGTCGTATATAATTGCACCGAGAAAAAAGTTACAATTTTCCATTGCCCGTATTTTTTGAACGAAACTATTGCACTGTACGCATATTAACTTAAATACAATATTTACAGTTTAAATTTTACAATTTACAAGTTATCTTCCTCGCTGACACATTATCTTCTATTCTGCGTGAATTACAGTTCAATTCGGACGAACGCGCAAAGGACTAGGCACTGAAATGTTCCATCATTATAATTCACCTTTTTAGATGAAAATAATATTTGCACTACAATAAAACTCAAAGGTCAATAGCCTCCTTTAGGGCAGCCAGTTGCTCTTCACCTAAATTCACCTTGTCCTGAATCTGATTCGCGTCTATGATGATTTTTGCTTTCATGTTGATGAAATGTTGATAATCATCTATTTCTTCGTCGTCCAAGTACTTGGCCAGTAAATTAGACAACGACGCACTGCGACGATCGACTTGCAATTTGAGGATCTTCGCCTCCTCCAGTTGGTCGGTCAATCTGTCACGCTTGATTTCCAAAGTTTTCTGAAAGTGAAACGACCAAGTTAGTATAAGAATTTCCACGATCTTTCAGTAAAAATTTAGCTTTAACGAGGACATACCTTTTCGGGTTGATCCGATTCCATGCCGTAGAGAATATTTTCTGTTAAGGCGAGTCTACCGCTCAGACCGAGAAGCAAACTCGTAATTTCGCCGATCTCTTCGACGTGCAATTGATACTTAACGAAATCAATGGGATCAAGGAGAGTCGAGACTTTTTCGGCTAATCGGGCTCCCAAAGCTTCGTTGAGCTCTTCTTCCTCGCGCACGGCATCCTGCTCGGCGCGCAAAACCACCAACTTCTTATCCAAGCGAACCATCAATTCCTCCTGGAGAACAAACATAAGAAAAACAAGAAAACATCAATGAGCTTTGCCATTTAATTAACATAATCGATGCATTAACTTTTTGCTCTCTCAAGGAAATGTGTACGTTACCTTTTTCTGCTGCAGCTCGGCATTATCATCGGGCGTCAATCTGTTAGCGCTACCGGTTAACTCGAGGCCATTCGACTCGTTCTCCGGTATTTGTTCTGTCGACATTCTGTCGAGGAATCGAGCTTTGCTATCCGCCGTCGCGAGACAGTTGCTCGATTTAGTCGATAGAGGACTGCTCTCAGTGTCCAATGCCGCTGGCGACAGTAATGTAGCTGGTAGCGACTCAATCCTGCGCAAAAAAGAAAATTCAAAGTCAGTAAACAATTCACCGATAAAAAAAAGTCTAGGCTGTTTTTAAAAAAAATCTTCGGATGCACAAGTGCGCACGTGCAAGTCTCGCTATGGCGCATCAAAATATTCAAATTTATTCTTTTTTTTCTCTCATAGAAATATTTCAGGGTAAAAAAAATCAAACTGGTCAAGATAGCGCAGTGTCTATTCATTCGATTAGAATCATAATAACGCCAGTTTTGGCAGGCTGTGAAGCCCGGACACGCTTTTCAATATCGCTGCTTACATCGGGCCAAGATAAAAAAAAAGTGAAAAATAACGCTCTATCTCACGTCGCGCAATTAATAAAACAAAACAAACGTGTGTGTTTGCGTGGTGCAGAAGCAGCACAAGCTACACTACACAGCATAAAGGAGCATGACTCATCGTCGTCGATTTTTCGCGGTCGTCTTTTGGCGCGATTAATGCATATTTATGAATCAATCGGTCAACAACAAACTTTCTTTAATATATACGAAACACCGTGAATGCTGCGTGTATTTTAAATGTATGCGTGTGTGTGTGCGCACGCCATGGTGTATGTATTTATACTTGGCTCTCTATATAAGACACAAGAAAGGCCGAACGCGTGCTCGTGTTATAGAGCTCGTCGGATAACGGGAAATTCGTGAGTCGCGCGCTGATACAAAAGCGCGCAAGACTACCTCTCGGCTTCTTCTCTTTTATCCTCGCGATCTTCCGCTTTTTCTTTGCTCAAGCAATAGCTCACATATATATACCCATACCTACACGCCGAGAGAGACCGAGAAAGAAAGAGAGAGAGAGAGAGAGAGGGAGACGCAAAGAGCACAGGTTTTCTATGTACGAAGAGAAAAAGAGAGGATCAGGACTAAGCTAGCCGTAAACCTAGGTGTACTACACTCGTTATTTCCATGAAACGAGACGCTAGGCGATGGGATTATTTTTACAGCGACGACCGGCCAGAAGAGAGCCTCGCGCGAGATGACTGAGGGAGACTTTCGTCGTGAGAAAAGAATGCCTTTTTATCGCTCATTGAAATTCGATCGTGATTTTTCCTTCTTCTGACTTTTACTCCCCCTTATCCGATACATTTTTCTAAATTACGCTTCTTAATGCGAGGCGCTTTTAATGAAGCAATCTCCGAGAGTGAGGTCGGATAATAAACCCCGCGGGAAGAAAAATGCGCACGAGGCACACCATAGACACGTTACATAATTATTATTTTCACTTCGCCGTATATAATGCCATGTAGGTACACCGCAGAGCTCGAGCCTCGCGGTAATACCCGCCTGCATGTGTGCATGAATGTGTGTATGTGTGTCTATGCATGTGCATGTACATTCTAGCTCTGAGAACACACACAATAGTAGCAAAATTTCCTTACATAAAATCGTGCGAATAATAAGACACCGACGTGCATTTCGACATTTCCTGTGCGCCGAGTTTGTGTGCATATAGGTACGCGTCGTGCTAGGGATAGATCGACGACCATAAAATAAACGATCCCAGCGACTATTTCGAATAAATGTCATTTTCACTCCGTGATATTATATTAATTCCTCCATTAAAGCATAATACACAGGCATGGGTAAGTGACCGTTGATACCGTTGCCGATACACTTCCGGAAGTTATCATATTAACTCTTGAGTGGCAAGGCGATAGCGTTTGAAATAGTGAGAGAGAAAGAGAGAGTTAAAAATATGCATATGCAAGATCCGAACTCGATGCGATACGTCCCAGCTCTGGATTAGAAAGGCGCGTTTGATATAATATTCGGCCGTGCACGCGTATGCGTGTGTTTTAGCAGAAGAGGACAACGGTGAAATGATTAAAATATGTTACGTTGTGTCAAAAGAACTGATCAGACGTGCTCCGAATTCTCGAATTTTCTTGCTGTTCGTGTGCATTGAAGCTTCTGCTGCTCGTATACGCACGCGCGCGCCCATTATCGGTCGAAATTCGAAAACGTGCGTGGAAAACAATGCGGCAGATCGCGCAGTCATCAACAAACGCCTTTGTGCATACAGCCAGTGACTTTGCAAGTGGAATTTTTTTTCATATATCGATGTATGCGCCGCTGATCGCTCGGAGCGTATTAATGAGCGAGTTGCTAAATCGACGAATGATTATTGCAACGATCTAACTCCGACTTGGGCCCCCGCTTCTTACATGATTTCCTGGTTGCAGGATCACGACTGCCGATCACGCAGCATCTTGGCAGAGATTGGTAGCACAGATGACAGTGGTTACACATTTATATACACGCACAGTTACACACGAGAGCACTAAAAAAACTGCGAGACTGAGGTTAACAACACTGTCGAGGTCCCTCGCGCGTCTCACAAAGTCTCGGGGGTCTCATGCGGCATGAATGACTGTTGGCTCGCTACTGAAACTCGCGGAGTCGCCGCGCGCTGCACGTACAACCTCTCCGCCGAGGCGCGTACATTATATACTATACTCGTCGTATAGAGCAGCAGAATGCATATATACAGGCACAGCTGAGAGAGAGACCGGAGCGAGTGAAGTGAACGAACGAGCGAGTGTAAGAGAGAGAGAGATAGTATATATTATATCGAAGGAGTACCAACCAAGTGTCGGAGAGAGATCGCTGTGCGCGGCGCACAACAATGCCGTGTGGCCGTCTTTCAGTGTCTGTAGGTATGTGTGTATAATATAAACGTATATAATGTACAACATATACGCTCGAGCACGAGATACTCTGGCGTCTGCACGCCTGTCTCTGCGCGTAGTATGTGCTCGAGTGCCTGTCAGTGTGTGTTTGCGCGCGACTTACACGCATTGACTCTCAAGATCATTTATACACGCTTTTCTTTACGACTAGACTATTGCGTAAGGCAGACATATTTTCTAAGCCTGTCTTGCGCTGCACTTTCTCCTAAATCTTGGACGGTAACACCGAGTTTTTCACTTGCAAGATGACCACTACCACCACCAACTCTACCAAAGTCCTTTCCTATGAATGCAATTTAATGCGCGTTCGTTTCGAATACTAATCACTTCATTAAACGTCGCGTGAAATAGCACTAAATCTATCCTGTCATCGTCGATATATGCAGTGCATCAACTTTCAGGACTGAAAAATAAAATTGATTGAAGTTCGACTTACTTTTTCTTTTCGCCGTCTGTTGTTGTTGTTGTTGTTATTGTTGATGCTGACTCTTTTTCTGGCTTTTCGTCTGCTGCGATCGGCTCTTCGTTCATCGACTTGGGCCGTGAACGTGGTTGCGGAGCCGAGTCTACCCTGAACAGGTCGACAATGTAATCCGTTGACTGTTTGTGCTCCGGTCCTGGAACTGAAATGTCATTACGTGTTTAGTTTAGGCGCGACTTTCTACCGTTTTTTTTTGTAAATCGAGCAAACATTGATTTCGTCCACTGGTGACAGCTTATCTTTAAAACATACGATTTTTTCTGACCCAATTTCTCGCGCAGTTCTTTTAGCCTATTTTGACAGTAAACTGCGGTAGGTAGATAACATAAAAAACGTAATACGCCGCGCTCTCCCCTTCCTTCGTCTTTCCTACTCTCACGGTAATCATTATTGGCTCGGTTATCGGTTTGCTTCTTTTTTTTTTACTTAATTTTCCTTCCGCGAAGCCATCAAGCACTCAAGAACGAAAAGTACTAATCGCGCCGTACAGTTTGGCTAAGCAGACAATTTGCCAACGAAATTAGCGGTCGTTTCCATGTAAACACGCGACACGACGTGCAATGTTGACAAAAAAAAATGTAAACGCTCAATGAGGCCTGCCAGTGACAACCGAGTGCCTACAATTATACTAGACGGTAATTGCTAACTTTCATCGAGATAAGGGTGTGTGCTCAATTTTTCGTTTATCGCAGCTGTTTTTATTTTGATGACATTAGAGATTAGTACACCGGGTTTTTCAGTCGATATTGTCATACTGCCACTGAAGGATAAAAATCTCAAATGCTAATACTTGAATAATATTGCCCATCGATCATCGGTCCGATCACGAAAAATTTTTCACATTTTTCAAGTCTCGTAGCGCAGGCGGTGCTATCGTTCATTGTTCATAAATATATAATTATCGAATTAAAAACTTTCACCATTGAAATTAACAACGTCATATATCGTCAGCGGACGCGGTTGACGTTACATAAGACTCGCGCGTGATTCGTTAAAGTCAATAATGGTCCATTAGTGCACAAAAATACAAACTCCGACGTTGTCAAACAAACAAAAAGTCTCGCACCGGCAAACCACGCCATCTAAGTGTGAACATTTGACGCACACACAAAAGTCGAAAGAAATCGACACTATACTACGTGCGTCGCAGGCAGCAATAGCAATGCCAGTGCCCGCTACGCTCACGCGCATGTATAAACGAAAGTTGACGAACTAGAAGCTTTTTTCTCTCGTCCGCTGCCATATAGACAGACAAGTGCTTTTTTCCGTGGAGAAAAAATATGCTAGCGGCATTCCAGCAGCACACTCCGATGGGAAGCCAAGTAAAGGTTTCACTCATGGCGCCTAATATGCTCAACCAGTCTAATTGAATTTGCCAAATAAAATTGCATAGTGGGAGTGACAGAGCTGGTTTCATTTATTTATGCATTCTATTTCACATGTATTAAAGGAAAAATGTTGCAATGAATTGTATGAGAAATTGCTATTGACTAGTTTTTCGTGCCAACTGACTTCTTTTTGTACTCTATGCCTTTTTAAGAAACTCGAGCGAACATTTGAATATTTCTAGATAATTGGCGCTTTTTGCGGGAAAGTTTATAAGATTACATGACGATATAATAAAACTAATCGCAGTTTTCGGAGGCTTATGAATAGTTGCTTACAAATTTTCGTGTTTCAAACCATCAGGCTCTAAAATACTCACCTAAAATTGGCAATAGTTTATCATTCGGTGCTAACTTCTCGGCTAAGTCTCTGCTGAGCTCTTCGCAGTCGAGTTCTGCCTGAGTTTTCTTTCTTCCCTCGGCCAGACTTTCCATCTCTTTTTCCTCCTTCTCGTCGCTGGATTTTTCCAGCTCTTCAGTTTGGGACGCTACGTCGTTGGTAGACGCGTTGCCCTTGGAACTGGATTTGTTGGACTGCCGATTTTCGGGCTGCGGCGAGACCCGAGGCGACGCCGGCGACGACTGCCACGTCGATCTAGTTGGCGTCGCAGCCGATCTGCACGGAGACGTCGATTGAGCCGAGCCATTCGACAGGCTTGAGCCCTGACTGCTTGAACTCGCGATACTCCAAGCGGTCGGCGTTCTGGAAAAGTCGTTGAGGCCACGATTCGCGGCGTTCCAAAGCGACTGCGTGCCGTTCCAGTTATTGTCGGTCTGCGTCGGACTGGACACTTGAAGTTGAGATCGATCCGAGAGAATTTCGGTGAGGGCCAGGCTGCTGCTGCAGTTGCTTCCGGAGGACAGGCTCACACCTTGGCTATCCAGTATTCCTCGTGGCGGCGATGGCGGTGGACTGAAAACACACATTCATCGTCATTAGGCATTCGCAACTTTGCTTATTTCTGTTTTTATCGTTTTCGAGACTGTATACTTTGACTCGTAATGGGGCAATGAAAAGCCGAAGTGTGGTGAGCATATCGTGGCTAGGAAAAAAAAAGGTCAGCGGAAGCTCTGCGTTACGTGCGACATTTGTTTTGCCGTGAGGAGTAAACTGTTACATCGTCGGAGTGCGATTGATTATTTCATTTACGTACACACTCGAGCAGTTCTTTTTTCTAATCTGTCGAACGGGAATGCTACAAAACGTCGGCTCACTGCAATTTCACTCGCTCTAATTTACGATAATAACCAATACAATGAGTTCTTCAAGGATTTTATGTGCGCCTTTTGTCTACTAAAAGTACATTATGCCACCGATGGTTTCGGGGCAATAATATTTTTTTTTTCCTCCGTGCGATCGATCGCGACGAATGCATTACACTTCTCGTTGCCCCACTTCGTTACGTACATAAAAATGCTTGAAAGCTCATTGTTTTCGTCTCGATGCGCGAACGAGTCTGACTGTTGCCTATAACAACACACGTACCTATTCGAGTCAGTGCCGTTTACGCTATAAGTGACGTTGATCGGGGCCAGCCTCTGCCTCTCGTTTTTCCGATTGAGCATCTCCACGTTCTGCGAGGTCATCTCGATGGTCTCGGCGTGCTCGCGATAGTAATGGGCGAATCGTGGCTCGCAGCTGGCGGCCAATTTTCGCCTCTCGCGCTCCAGCTGTCTGTTCCTGTCGTTGAGCGCCTCGACGCTCTGGGGCGACAGCCTCTGCTGCTGCTTGCCGTTCTCCTCGGATTTGCGCCCGGCCAGCAGGGCGTCGGAGCTCTGGGACTTGCCGAGCTCGTGATGATGATGATTCTGCGGCTGATGATGATGCCTCGTCGTGGGTGGCGACGACGACGATTGTTGCTGCTGCTGCTGATAGGAGCCGTTGAGGGGACTGTTGCTGCCACCGTTGCTCGAGACCGTGTACGTCGAATTGTTGAGTTGCTGCTGCTGTTGCGTGACTTTGAGAAGGACGGGATCGTCGACGCGCGCGTTGGGCGACATGGTGCGCTTGTAGCTACCTCCGCACTCCGGAGCACCGCGTTCCCGACGATACGCCAAGTAGGAGGCCTTGGATTGACTTCTGAAATTCACAAAAAAAAAGACGAAAACCATTAGCATCGTATTGAAAAAAGTGCGGGGGAAAATTCCAAAATCATTATCATCATGTACATATGCTGTACAAGCGCGCATATCTAACACACGCAATATACTGTGTTTATCCGAATAAAAGTGAATAATTCCGAGAAGAGCAGTTTATCAGTAACGCGATCCGGCGAGCAGTGATGAGACTTGATTGCGACTATGCGCCGCGCTTCCGAGATGCATTCAACCGGTTCTAAGAATGAGGTAATATTTGCTTAAAGTATCATCTAGCTGTAAGTATGAAGTTTCATCTCTCTCCTCCTCCTCTTTCTCTCCCGGGCGCATTTTTCGTTCTAAGCAAGTAACAATCTTTTTTTTTCTTAATTCTGCATACTGCTGCGTCAAGGAGGCGAGTATCGGCAATTTTTTTCTATCCCCTCTATTTCCCTCTCGGCAGCAGCAGCGTAGCGCGAATAAAAATATTTCAGTGTCCGTGCCGATTGACATAATGTACCGTTTCCATTCTGTGCCTTGCGCGCGTGAAAAGGACGAAAAAAAAAAGAAACAGGTAAGAAGCGTTGAGCGCGATAAGCGCGCGTCGCGCGCTGTAATACGCGAAAGTACAAATAAACATCGGGAAAACTTGTGCATTCACAGCGTGGCTCTTCCGATATAAGTACACCTTTTCTCGTACCTCGAGTCTCGATCGCGCTAGTGGTTTATTTTATTTGCGCAATCGTGTCAAAATTCACGTTGAGATATATGCGCACGACGACGGCGACGAAGACGACGAAAAACCTCGTGTGAGCAGTGGTGCGCAGGAAAGCTGAAAAAAGATTGGCCAAGTCGATTCTACACACGTAGCCGGACGCGCGAGTTCCTTTTACGCACGCAAGTACACGAGTCGATAAGCGCGTACGACTATAGCTCGACACGAGTATTATAATGTACGAGCCTGTACGCGTTATGTGCGAAAAGTTTCGGATTTTCTATCGCGCGGAGCGGCTCACATATAATATAATATTATTCGCGCAAAGTTTCACCAAGTTACTGCAGTTTCTAGCGGCGGCAGCAGCTGTGTGCCTGCAAACCTCACGCATTATAATAATATACGCCATTTACGGGCAATACGAGCGTTTGTTTTTTTGCTGCGCGAAATTTGGCTCGAGGATTTAATCGTCACGGGCGCATTCAAGCACTATAATCGCCGCATTATAGAGCTGTACTATACTACGCACACACATACACACGAGCTGCAATTATCCATATAAATATACGATATAAACGCACTAGAAGAGGCAGCATGACCTTTTAGAGCTAGATGAGGAAAGTTGAAATCAGATATTGTTTGTTGGCTCGTAGCGCCAAGGGCTTCGCACGACACGCGTATTTTCCCTGAGTCATGTCGACGATACCAGTCAGCATATAGTGCAGTAATATAGCTTTCACGAATTTTACCTTGTTAGAATTAGCCTGAATCCTGCTTTTATTTCTTCCCCGCCCCCCTTCTTTGACAATCAGTCGAATCATCCTCGAATTATCGTTTGAAAAAAAAAATTTTTTTTTTAATAACGCTGGCAGCAGGATCAAGTCCCCGGTGCGTTAAGGTTCGTACATTCATCTTAACGGGTCGTGCCGAGGCAAAAGCAGAGGCAACAGTCGGCGGAGTATATTTACATGTATATACATAAAAACTAAAACAGCACCAGCTAGCTCTCCGCTGGTGGTGATCTCTCGAGCGAACAAATTCGTTTCCGGTGCGGCGTCGGCGGCCGCCGCGGAGGAGCTCGAGCTCGCCGCGCGACTGCTGTACTTACTATCATATACTACCTCGACCAGTACTAGGCAAATCTACAAAATGCAAATTGTACACGAGTCAAGGATTCTCGCTTACTCTCTATCTCTCTCTCGTGCATATTAGCATTTGCAGAGTTACGCGCGCGACGAGTGTAATGTAACAGACAAATGCCCTCGAGCCTGGCCAACGCGCGCATATAATAACAGCGCACTGTGCGTATATACCGAGCGCAGAGGATCAATCAAGCTCTCGCGCACCGCACACACGTTGAAGTACGCTTATAGTCAAGTTTTTCGACTCTCGTGATCGTTAATTATTACCACGCGCGCGTCTGCAAAAATGGAAGTCAAGGTGGAACGGCCCGAAAATCGAGCTCAGGCAATGACGTAGCCGATAAATATTTAGCCAAAGCTCGACTATAATATACAAGCTGCCGAGCTATTTTGTTCGGTGTACAAACGGCGCGCGAGCGATATACATTAGCGAGCACGAGCCGAGTCGTGACGCGCCGCATGCTCGCAATATACCTACGTTGTTGTACACGACTCTCTCGATATACCTACGTATATAATATATATAATGCGGGCGGAGACCTCGTGCACTCGCTTATATCATTCGTGACGCTCGTGACACGTCGAGAGAGCTACATGCTATATGTATGTACTGTACGCTCGACTATTTTCGCTTGGAAGAAAATACTTCTGTTTAGCACCTTGGTACTAACGAGCTGAAAACAAATGTCCCGACGATAAGCGTTTACGTATCATTATTATTGTTACTGCTATATATGTATCGCGAGCGAGTATAAAGTCGTATTACACACATATAAATGCGAGAGATCGAGTAAAAGATCGACGACGATCGGCAGCCGTGTGGTGCCGTCGAGTAACTTTCGATGTGTGCGCTGCAGCTGTGCGCGCACGCCTTCTTTTTCTCGCGTTTTCTCTTTCTTCGAGACGCGATCGTCTCGAAATCGGATCGTCCAAGAGTACGCGAGCGTTTGTTTTCTCGCGATCGTTGCAAGCTCACGCACCGCACGCGGATTCGTCTTTTTCTAGCACAATCGTTGCCACGCATTCGGAATCGAGCAGAGCGTACACATATCGTAACGATAATCGGGCATGCGGACAAACAATTACGAGCCTTCCCGCGAAACAAAACGATATAGCCCCGACGATTTGTACTTTCATCGCTCGACCATGCGGCGCTCGTGTGTGCGTCTGTGTATGCAGCGCAGTACGATATACATATCCGGATTAAGGACGCAGGCGCACGAGCTCACGATTTCACGAGGAAATTCGCGATGTCGAGCGACTGCTTCGGCAGCAGCAGCAGACGAGAGCTCGAGACGGAGAAAAAAATTAGAAGCCGGCCGAGTGTCGTGTGAACGAACTCTTTCGAAACTGGGTCTCTGATATGTATGGCCTGCTGCTGCTGCCGCCGCTCGAGACGTGCACTGCTCATGTGCATGGCCTAAAGCACTTTTGATCGATTGCTATGTCTTTTTCGATTATACGTCCATTTTGCTCGCATTACCGCAGATATGAGTGGGTACATATAGATACAAGTATGCTGTACGTCGATCGATTGCACCGAGCGCACACGAGCTTTTTCATTAGCCACCGATATGTCGTAATTTTTATTATTGTTTCGAGCTCTCGGGCCCGATGTGTATACGTATGTATAATACAATAGCGCATGTGATATCAATTCGAGCTCGAGCGCAATTATTTTCCGATCAAGCTACCGAGAGCGGCGAAAATCGAACTTCGTGGGAATGACGATCGCTGAGCAACGACCATCGCTGAGCTCTTATCATCGTGGCATTATGAGACGTGTGTGTGCGTGGGTTGCGAATTGTAAACGCAGCACTTACACGTGCCAATCTTGTATAGGCCTGTATACGTGTTATTTGTGCTCCGAGAAGTTGCGTCGGTCGAATTTGCGAATCATCTTTTTCCATCGCGTCGAATCGGGTCAGTTCATTGCAATGACTACTGTGTACATTATTTATACGACGTGATGACCGAGCGACGACGACGATGATGAGCAAGGCCGCAGCTGTATAAAAAGCTATTCTATACGTATTATTCAACCATCGCGGGGGGATTTAATTGCTCCAAGTATGCAGCAGCAGCGCCCGATGATTCTGCAATGCCTTTTTTTAATGCTTGCCTACGATATAACGTAATAATCGTAAATAAGCACACGCTTTGGCGAATGAAAGAGAAAAAAAGAAGACGAAATGCTTCTCGCCATTCGCGAGAGAGAGAATCATTATTCAACCGAGCAGAGCTGCTGTTGCAGCTCGCGCGATAGAGCTTCGAGGTGTGCATGGTTTCTAAATTCAAGCTCCTATAGCAGTTCGGGCTTTATAATTGGCTGTCAAAGCGAACAATTTTAATCGTACGATCTTGCGCAACTTATTGCACCCGATCTACGCCTGGCATAAAAAAAATTAGAACTAAAAGCAGCAGGTGCCTGAAAGTCTATTGTGACCAGGAGCGTATACACTGTACACAGAAAATATTGCATGTATATATATTTTGATATACACAAGCGCACAGGCGCAGTTCTTGGAGATCGAGAGAGAGAGGAAAACTGGCAAAACTCGTTCGATAAAAAATGATTGCTACAAAGCGGCGTGGCGCTATATACCTTTCTTTTTTTCCTTTTGGGTGTATGGATTCAGAGACACACGGCAAAAATGACAATTATCAACAGCGGCGAGCTGCAGCTCAGAATGCAGAATAATCGCTAACAAATAGCCGAGGTACACGATGACCTATTTTTGCCTATATATATACAGCAATGACATGACTCTCGATGAATGCCGCTTGCCGCGCGCATTTATGAGAGAGCCCAGCAGCGATATGTCACCCCATATCGCTCCGAGTTGCTTTTCATTTTAGAAAATCATCTGTATACGCTGCGCTGCAACTATAACACACACACACGGGTAGTAGGTATGTATATATAGGCGAGCGCACGCATCGTCGCTGCGCTGCGAGAAATGAATTTTCATCCTCGAGCTCTCTTGTCTCCTGTCGATCGGCATTCCGCGCTTAGCCGCGCGTCCAGCAAAAGCAGCTGTCTATAAATGTGTGTAACACGAAGAGAAATTAACTTTTATTAGCTCTCGGCCGCTCGAGCTCGCGCCTCATTGCGCACAAGCACATCGTGTGTACCTATATAATACG